TCCAGCTCCAAGTATAAATAAATAAATAAAAGTATGTATACTCACATTTACTAGAGCAGAAAACTTGATCTAGTATATAGGGCGTGCAGTGGTATGATCCCCACTGTAGGATATACAGGCCAGAAAGTTGATGATGCAGATAAAATATAGTAAACTAAAGTATAGCTTTAAAAGGTATATTTAATGATAGCACAAATAGAAAAATAAAAAGCTATATAAAGTGTTATTTTATATAGCTTTTTATTTTTTATTTTTCTATTTGTGCTATCATTAAATAGGCTGTAATGTAAACACTGCATTTTCTCTGAAAAAGACAGTGTTTACAGCAAAAAGCCTGAAGGCAATGATTCTACTCACCAGAACAAATTCAATAAACTGTAGTTGTTCTGGTGACTATAGTGTCCCTTTAAGCACCATGAACAGGGCCGCCATCAGAAATTTCAAGGTCTGGGCCCCCTGAAACAGACATACACACATACAGGCATACTGGCACACACTTACTGAAACAGACACACAGATATACAGACACACACATGCATAAGGAGATACAGATACACACACACACACACACACACATACATATTGACATACAGACACACACACACATACAAACTGACATACAGACATACAAACAGACATACATGCACATAAATACATACTGACATACATACAGGCATACATACACACATACAGATAGATATATACATACATACACACATACATACTGACATATACACACAGACATACATGCATACTGACATACATACACACATACACACACAGACATACATACACACATACACACACAGACATACATACATACTGACATATATACATACACACATACATAGATAGATACACACACATACATACACACATACATATACATACATACTTACATACACACACACACACAGACCTACATACATACTGACATATAAATACACACATACATAGATAGATACACACATACATACGCACATACATATATATACATACATACATACTTACATACACACACACACACACACACACACACAGACCTACATACATACTGACATATAAATACACACATACATACATACATAGATATATATACTGACAAACAGACATACATACACAAAAAGACATACATACAGACATACATACATGCAGACACATACATATATACACATTTTTCAGCCACCCTCCTTTTCCTTAGCTTTTCAATGCAGGAGGGTGGCTGGGGATGAGGGGAGCGGATGCCTCTCCTCTCCTCGGCTGTCTCTCCCACCGCGCTGAGTAAGCTGGGAGGAAGTGACCGACCGTCACTTCCTCCCAGCAGTGCTGACCGGGCCCCTGAAGATATAGGGCTCATCGGGTGGCCCTTAATGTTCGGGCCACATGATGGGCCCTGGTGCAGATGCACCTGCGGCAGTTTCGCCGCTCCACGTGGGGGCCGGGCGGTGGCCCGTGACTATCATCATGGTTGTCACCCCCTGATGGCGGCCCTGACCATGAAGTGGTCTGGGTGCACTGTCCTTCTAATCCTGTAATGCAAAACATTGCAATTGTTTAGAAACTTTAAGTCCTTGTCCTACTCATAGACATAACATGCACTTCCGCAACCAAAGAAAATGCCCTGCACACAGCCAAGGTGATGTTATTTCGCAGTTCTAGTCGGTGCGCAGTAAGAGCTTTATTGACATCCTCTGTGCCATAAATTCTGAATTTCAGACCAACAAGACAAAACTATTAGCTTCACCACATGCAAGTGTGTTTATTGTGTTTGCAGTGCTAGGTAGGAGATATGTGTTTATTGTGTTTGTTGTGTTAGTTAGGAGATATCTGTTTATTGTGTTTGTAGTGTTAGTTAGGAGATACGTGTTTATTGTGTTTGTTGTGTTAGTTAGGAGATGTATTTATTGTGTTTGTTGTGTTAGTTAGGAGATATGTGTCTATTGTGTTTATAGTGCTAGTTAGGAGATACGTGTTTATTGTGTTTGTAGTGTTAGTTAGGAGATGTATTTATTGTGTTTGTAGTGCTAGGTAGGAGATATGTGTT